CTCCAGTCTGGGCGACAAGAGTGAGACTCCAACTCAAAACAACAACAACAACAACAACAACAAAAAACCCAGTAATATCTTTTCATCCCATTTGACCAGTGAAGAAACTGAAGTTCAGAGAACTTGTCACTTGCCCAATATCTCACAACCTGTAAAGGGCCCAATCTTGTGAAGGGATTCCATCGTAGGCAGTCTGACTCAACCGTAGACCCCCTTAGCTGCGGGGCTTTACTGCCTTAAATTATTTTTATTTTTTATTTTTTTTGAGTTGGGGACTCACTCTGTCGCCCAGGCTGGAGTGCAGGGGCACGCTCACGGCTACCACAACCTTGACCCGCTGGGCTCAGGTGATCCTTCCCCTCATTCTTCTAAGTAGCTGGAACTACAGGCATGTGCCACCATACCCAGCTAATTTTTTGGTTTACTGTAGAGATGAGGTCTCACTAAGTTGCCCGGGCTGGTCTCGAACCCGTGGGCTCAGGCATTCCTTTCACCTTGGCCTCCCAAAGTGCTGGGATTATAGGCATGAGCCACCACGCCCAGCTAATTCTTTTTTTTTTAAAGTCAGTCTCACTCTGTCGCCCAGGCTGGAGGACAGTGGCACGCACACAGCCACCGCAGCCTGGACCTGCTGGACTTAGGCGATCCTTCTGCCTTAACCTTCCAAGTAGCTGGAACTAAAGGCATGCACCATCAAGCCCAGCTAATTTTTCTTGATTTTATTGTAGAGATGAGATCTCACTAAGTTGCCCAGGCTGGTCTCAAACCCATGGCCTCAGGCAATCCTCTAAAAGTGCTGGGATTATAAGCATGGGCCACTGTACCTGGCCTACTGCCCTAAATTCTAATCTTTTCTCCCTTAGGAGTCTTGCCAGTTCCAACTTGTGGAGTGCTAGTCAATGAGACAGAAGACTGGAGTGTGACTGTGACCTCCACTGCGGTAAGATCAGAAGCAAAACCTTCTCTGTAGAAGCCTACGTCTAGGGTTTCTGCAATGCTGTCTTGATGTGACAAGGTATTGCTTTCTCTGCGCTCAGGACTATCATGAAATTGTGGGCTGTTGTATCTGGTAGACACTCATCTAGTCCAGGGGCTCTAGGGTTAGGGATTCTTGGATGTATTTCACAGAGTCTGCTTCCTGTGACATTGTTTGTAAAGTTCTATGTGTGTGTGCATTTTTCTGATGAGAGGTTCACCAGCTTCTGTCAGATTATCAAAAGGGACTGCGACTCAAAAAGCTTCATAACGCTGACCTTTCCCAACTCTGAGCTTATATGTAAGAGGACTCAAACCTGGAGAGATTAAATATCTTCTATTTAATATATGTTTATTGAGTACTTTGTATGTGCCAGACATCAACTCTGGAGATCAAAGGATGAGAAAGACCAGCTCTGCTTGTATGCCAGGAGTGAACATTTACTTGTCCAAAGCTATTCTGAGATCAACTGAGGATTTTTTTCATTAACTGTTTTATTTACTCTTCTTTGGATAGGATGATAAACTGAAAAGGTGCTAGATAAACGGAGCTAATTTATCAGACCTATGCTTAGCTTTCGTTGAGTATCCAAAAGCTGTTTGCTTCTATGTTAAATGAAGGAGTAAGAATCAGGGCTTGCGTATTACTGTAGGTTTATGGAGTGGAATTGACGAGAACTCTGTATCTTTATAATGGATTTTCCCCAATTTATAACCTGCACTGAAGTAAATGTGTACTTTTATTGTGTTTTTCATAATGTATTCTTATAGATGCTATTTTGAGTCACTTGAAAAATACAGCATTTTCTTTCAGAATGTGTTGGAAGTAACAGTAAGGTGGAAGGGGCTGGAGTCGTGTTCTTCTAATGAGACAGATTCCTTCTCAGAGTCCCCCTGCATCATTCAGACGCTTCTGGTTTCAGCATCTCACAATTCATCCTGTTTAGCACATCTACTCATTCAGGTGGAAATTTACGCAAACTCATCTCTGACCCATAATGCCTCAGGCAAGTGACGTCTTCAGTTGTCAAAGTGTTCATGTCAAATTTAACTGTTTGATTATAAGTGCATGCCATGTAGTTTGAAAAGTGCACTTAACCTTACTCTTGAGTTTGTCTTGCCTTCCTAAACTTCTTTTTCCTATTTATTTATATTTTTGTGTTAGGGTCTCACTCTGTTACCTAGGGTGGAGTGCAGTGGCATCATCAGTCTTAACCTTCTGGGCTCAGGAGATTCTTTTGCCTCAGTCTCCCGACTAGCTGGAACTGCAGGCATACACCACCATGCCCGGCTTATTTTTGGGGTTTTTACAGAGGCAGGTCTTGCTGTGTTGCCCAGGCTGGTCTCTATTATGTGATAGAGCAGTCCTGGGCTCAAGCAATCCTCCAGCCTTGGCCTCCCAAAGTTCTGGGATTACGGGTGTGAACCACCATGCCCGGCCTTATTTTTCTTTTGTTTAGTTTTCTTATTTAAAAACTTTTCATTTTGTAGTATTTTATTTAACTAGGATTTATTTTATCTTACTCTACTGTTTGTATCTTTGAAACCACCTTAAATCTTACTTTGGAGAAGATGAAATTTGTTTCCATGCCTTGATTCTCCTTATTCCAGCTTAAGAAAAGGAAAAAAAGCCAGGCATGGTGGCTCAAGCATTTAATCCCAGCACTTTGGGAGACTGAGGCAAGAGGATTGCCTGAGCCTAGGGCTTCGAGATCAGCCTGGGCAACTTGGTGAGACCTCGTCTCTACAATAAATCAAAAATCAGCTGGGCGTGGTGGCGCCCACTTGTAGTTCCAGCTACTTGGAAGACTGAGGCAGAAGGCTCTCCTGAGCCCAGCAGGTTGAGACTGTGGTGGCCATAAGCACACCACTGCACTTCAACCTGAGCGACAGAGTGAGACTATGACTCAAAAAAAAAAAAGAAAGAAAAAGGAAAAAAAGAGGAAAGGAAAGACTTACGAAGAATTGTGTAGAAAGAGCAGATTTTCTTTTCTTTTTTTTTTTTTTGAGTTGGAGTCTCACTGCTGCCGGCCACTGCAGACTCGACCTGCTGGGCTCTGGTGATCCTTCTGCCTCAGCATTCCAAGTAGCTGGAACTACAGGCACACGCTACCACGCCCGGCTAATTTTTTTTTTTTTTACTGTAGAGATGAGGTCTCTCCAAGTTGCCCTGGTGGGTCTTGAACATGTGGGCTCAGGCAATTCACTCACCTCTGCCTCCCAAAGTAGGGGATTACAGGCTGAGCCACCGAGCCCGGCCGAGGCAGATTTTCAATTAATGCTTTTGACTTCCAACTCTCCTCCTTAAAGTTAGCTTTTTAACTTATGCTCATAGAAGTATGTATTCCCTTTAAAACTGATGTACGTTTATCACATAATTTGTGATTCTATACTGTAAAAAATATATAATTCAGATATTGTTCCCTATGAGCATGTGTAGGTTCACCTCTTTCTTTTTTTTTGAGTTGGAGTCTCACTCTGCTGCCCAGGCTGGAGTGCAGTGCACTCATGGCCACCACACCCTGCCGGGCTCAGGTGATCCTTCCACCTCAACCTTCCAAGTAGCTGGAACTACAGGCACACACCACCAAACCTGGCTAATTTTTCTTAATTTATTGTAGAGATGAGGTCTCACCAAGGCTGGTCTTGAACCTGCGAGTTCAGGCAATCCTCTTGCCTCGGCCTCCCAAAGTGCTGGGATTATAGGCTTGAGCCACCGCCAGGCCTCACCTCATTCTTTTAAATAACTGCATAGTATCCGTTGTGTGGCTAGACCTTTGTTTATTTAATCCGTCTCTTGCTAAAAGGGAATTTACATCATTTTCTGCTTTGATACTGCCGAACTATAGCAAATATTATGCACATGCTCCTGCTTCTTTGAACATGAGAAAACGGTTTTACATTATTCTCCCTCTCACATAACGTTAGTGTCCTAAAAGCAAAAGAGATTCCAACTAGATGTGCCAGTGTTGAAGGGTCTGCTGTAATAAGTACCACCACTATGTTCCCTGTCCCCTGCAGAAAACTCTGGTGCCTTTTGCCTTTATTGGTCACGTGGGCTGGGGTAGAAGTGTTCTTTAGTAGCAAAGATCTGTCACTTGGAGGTTCTTGCACTGCTTCTCTCATCACATCCCTTAACTGGATGGTCCTCCTTGCTCTTCTGGAAGTTTAGGAAGAAGAGATGTGAGAATGATAGTGTCATTCAGCAGACTACCGTGCCCTTAGTGTACTTGTATAGAAATTTCTCCAAGATAAATTGTTCAGTGAAAAAAGCAAGTACAAATGGGTTCATATATTAATAGCATGGTATCTTTTGTCAGAAAGGAGCCAGAAATCAAAACGTGTATTTGCAGCTGGGCTCAGTGGCTCACACCTGTAATCCCAGCACTTTGGGAGGCCAAGGCGGAAGGATTGCTTGAGCCCAGGAGTTCAAGACCAGCTTAGGTAACATAGTAAGACCTCATCTCTACAAAAAAAAAAAAAAAAAAAATTAGCCAGACACGGTTGTATGTGCCTGTAGTCCCAGAACTATTTGGGAGACTGAGGAGGAAGGATCGCCTGGGCCCACCAGGAGGTCAAGGCTGCAGTAAGCCATGAACCTGCCACTGCACTCCATCCTGGGTGACAGAGTGGGACTTTGCCTCAAAAAAAAAAAAAAAAAAAAAAAGCTTGAGTATTTTTAGGTAATACAGAATGTCCTCAATAGGAAATTGAGAGTTTTTGCAGATTGGTAATTGAGATGTCCATTCTGACCCCATGAAGGTATGAAAAATTTTGCGCCCACTCAGAAAGAGATCAAAACTAGAAAATGGATGGAAATGGATGGAAGGACAGGAGATATGTGGTATACTTAGGAGCAACAAAGCTAGCAAATGACATATAGATAGATTATGCAAGCATCTGTCTATTAACTGTTTCCCTTGTCTCCATTCATATTACCCCCAGGCATATCACCTTTCTTGAATTACTCCATCCTCTCCTGAGCTGGTTTCTCCGCCTCTGCCTTTTTCCCATTCGCATCCCCTGCCTTCTCCCTTGCGACCAAATTGCTCCATCTGTCTGTCTGCCCCCTCTGTCTTCTTATAGCTCTTCAGCAGCCCTCTCACCTGGACAGACTATGTTTCCAGCTCAGCGCACAGTCTCTCTCTGCCAGGCAAGTCTTCCTGACCCCACAGCCTAAGCCTAGTACTTTCCATGGGTTCCCTTGACAGATCTGTTTTGGTGTCTTCCTGTTATGGTCCCATGGTCTCATTACCTGGCTTTTCTTCCTGTGGGGGGAGGCTGCTGTGTTTCAGCGTAGCCCCCGTGCATAACCCAGCCCCCTCCACTCTAGTGATAATCCATGTCTGTCTCACCTGCACTGTTGGGTGCAGCATCCGTGAGCCACGTGTGGCCACTTGAAAGGGGTAAGTCTCAGCCAGGCACAGTGGCTCATGCCTGTAATCACAGCACTTTGGGTAGCAGAGGTGAGAGGATTGCCTGAGCCCACGAGTTCGAGACCAGCCTGGGCAATATGGTGAGACCTCGTCTCTACAAGAAATAAAAAAATTAGGCTGGGCTTGGTTACTCATCCTGTAATCCCATCACTTTGGGAGGCCGAGGTGAGTGAATTACCTGAGTCTGCGGGTTTGAGACGAGTCCAGGCAACTTGGCGAGACCTCATCTCTACAATAAATAAAAAATTAACTGGGTGTGGTAGCGCATGCCTGTAGTTCTGGCTACTTGGAATGCTGAGGCAGAAGGATCACCAGAGCCCAGCAGGTCGATGCTGGGGTAGCTATGAGTATGCCACTGAATTCCAGCCTGGGCTACGGAGTAAGACTCCAACTCAAAAAAAAAAAAAAAAACAGTTGGGTGTGTTGGCGCACTCCTGTAGTTCCAGCTACTTGGAAGGATCACCTGAGCCCAGCAGGTTGAGGCTGCTGTGGCCGTGAGTGTGCCACTGCACTCCAACCTGGGTGACAGAGTGAGACTCTGACTCAAAAAAAAAAAGAAAAGAAAAGAAAAGGGGGTGAGTCTCAATTGAGATGTGCCATAATTGCCAAATAGCCACCTGTTTTTGCGGACTTACTATGAGACAAAGAATGTAAACTAGCTCATTAATAAACTACATGGATTGCCTATTGAAATGATATTATTTTTATATATTGGCTTAAGTAAAATACATTATTAATTTCACCTGTTTTTTTTCCTCTTAAAGTGGCTGCTAGGCAATGTAAAATTATTATACATATAAGCTGGGCGTGGTGGCATGTACCTGTAGTCCTAGCTATTTGAGAGGCTGAGGCAGGAGGATACCTTGAGCCCCAGAATTTGAGGTTGTAGTGAGCTATGATTGTTCCACTGCACTCAGCCTGGATGACAAAGCAAGACCCTGCCTCTAAAAAAAGAAAAAAATAAGTAAATAGCAGATGCAGTGAGACTGAAAAGGAGATGTGCTGAGAATGGGAAAAATTGTTGGTGTGGTGAGGGGAGCTCCGACTCTAGCTGGGATGCTTATTTCAGGCCTTTTTTAAGGGGATGACCTTTCAGCTGAGGAACTGAGGAGAAAGTGGAGGGGAAAAGGGGTTCAGGGGCTCTCCAAGACCAGTATATGCAGAGGCCAGGAACTGGGTGTGCAAGATACGCATGGAGCTAGAGTGTAGAGAGCAAGGGTGGGGAGCCTGGACAGGGAGGTGGGCAGATCACAGGGTGCCGCGGTGGGGTGGGGGCATGGGAAACCAAGGGACTGGTTTTAGCAGAAGAGCGATGTGGTTTATTATATTTTCTAGAAAGATCCCTACAGTTGCATGTGGAGAATGGGCTGGAGGGGTCTAAATCCTAGGAGGGGATGTCCCAGCTTTGCGATAGGCGGGCTTTTCTTATTGGCTGCAGGGAGGTGGCGTATTGCAAGCTAAAATTGCTTCAGCATTCTCCCCCACACACTAAAAACAAAATCATGATGTGAAGGTCTAGATTTAATAGGACGTGGGGTCGAGCATGTAGCATAATTAATTTATCTTGTGATTGGATGGATTCCAGATAAGCAGTCTAAAAATGTTACCATGGCTTCAGTTTTATCTACTAAAAAGAGGTAATGAATTTGACGAAGCATGCTCTTAATGTCAGGATGTGTTATGAAAGGATCGCTCCGTGTATCAAAAAATAAGATCAGTATGTTTATCTTAACTTGTAACTTTTAGCCAATAATTTTTGAGATCAACTGTGATGTTTTCGGTTCATGATAACTAGTGTTTTCTTATAATTGAGTTTTCGCTGGAATAGTACATGGGGCCTTGGATATATTTCGTGTATAGCTCATTTCACTGATTCCTTAATGCGGAATATTTGTTGATGGTGCTTTATAGAACAAGATGATTCAGCTTTCTTTTGAATATCAAACATGTGACAATGCTTTTTCAGAGTATTTCACAGCTGCACTTGTCTGTTGTATGTACTTTTCAGAGAACGTGACTGTCATTCCTAATCAGGTTTATCAGCCCCTTGGTACTTGTCCTTGTAATTTAACAGCTGGGACCTGTGACATTCGCTGCTGCTGTGACCAGGTATGTTCTTTCAGTTCACTGGCCTTAGCAACTCTGCTGCCTGATAGCATGTGGAAGGCATCAGTTATTCCCATCAACTGCTTTTTAGCAGATGGTCTCCAAAATGGAGATTCTACTTTCTGTTGCAAATTGTTTTCAGATTGAGGATTTTCTTATCTAGCATTTCAGCCTAGTTTTTGAAAGAAAAAAAAAATATCCCTTTGAATAAGGTCGGGATTGTGAAGATCATACTAAGAGGATGGTTTTAATCTTATTATTATTATTATTATTATTTTTGAGTTGGAGTCTCACTCTGCCCCCCAGACTGTAGTGCAGTGGCCGCTCCCGGCCACCGCAGCCTCGACCTGCTGGGCTCTGGCGATCCTTCCGCCTCAG